TCTATTGTGGGCCGGGCAGTTACCATGCTGCATGAAATTTGGGGAGATAAATATAATCTTAAAACAATGTTTGGGAATATAAACTCCTTACTGGAAAGACAGCATAATGGAGTCCTTAAAAGTACAGTCTGGGTGGAGCCCATCAAGATTCAAATCTGAGCTCAACCATTTACTCTCTGTAGGACCTTAAGGAAATTAATCTCTGTGCAACTCACTCTCTTCTTCCAAGAGAGGGATAATAATAGTATCCATCTCACTGGATTAAATGAAGCCATATGCAGAGTGTTTAAAACAGTGCCTGATATAAAAGTGAGCCAGACCTAAATGCCATGTCCATTGAGGTTGTATCAGACATAAAGACCTCTGGTTTCTGTGCTCTGTGTGTTTGTTGATGTTTAAAAAGCTGCCAGACCCTTAAAGTTTTGTAATCTCAGTCAGTATTTTATTGAGTTCAAAGTAATGGGCAGCCTTCTACTATGGTTACAGTGTCAACCACTAGTGGCCAGCGTGCATGCCCATGCACACAGACGTGTGTGTGGCTTGGGGACAGGGTGGGTGGTGCGGGTTCCACATGTGTAAAGAAGCAGAAAAGCAGGGTGTGCAATGTTCTGCAGAGTTAAGGGACCCCAGGGAAAGCATAGCTATTCTCTTGCCACTCCAAGGATCCTGAGTACCACAGCTCCCCAGATGATAAAGCAACCCCGAGTCTACTCATCTTTTATTACCAGGAAGGCTCTGTGCCTCAGTGAATTTACTTTCCATTCATTTTCAAATGACTTTTCTGATATGAGCATTGTTGAATATGCACAAGAAAGAGGAGATGGAGGCAGAGGTATGTGTGGGAACAGATTTGCATGAGTATAAATACAGTATAGTACCCATATTTAAATGATACACTGATAATATTGTGTTGCCATCTCACAGTGAAAGCTAATTAATTCAGCTATTAAGATGATAATGGTTTCTTTCTCAGTTAATACCAGAGTTTGAAAAAAAACTCTGCAAAATTTTCTGGGCATCATTTCTTTGACTCATGTTGGAATAAGGAATTTTATTCTGTTAACTATTAAGCTGTCTATCAGTATCTATGACAGCTTTTAAAGGAATCATTCCAGGGAGGGGTCGAAGATTATTAGTGGGTAGACTGACTCATGTAGGGTAAAGTGTTCATGGAGCTCCTGCTTGGTACTAGGAAGGGAATGTTCTCTTTTTGCTTTTAGTTGGTTTTAAAATGCATGCTTTGCTATTTGCATTCTCGATATCAACACTGGTCTGAAACACAGTCTCTCTTTTGACTTTATTTCATTGGATGTGACATGTAAGAAAATGTTAAGATCTTTCCTACTTAAAGTCACGCCTGTTGGCAAATTCCCAAGCTAGTCCATGACTTTACCTTTCACATGCCTAGCTTTTCCTCCAGCCTCTATTTTCATATTTGGTCACCAGAGACCAGAATGTTCTCCCCATCTCCCCTCTCTTCTCTCCCAGTCTGGTTCAGGCCCTGATGACTTCTCAGCTGTGTTAAGCAAATTGTGTCCAGTCTCCATCTCCATTCTTCCTCCACGTGCTCCAGGAGTCTTCCCTACATGCAGGGAGGTGACCGCTTCGACGTCAAACACTTTAATAGCTTCTCTCCTTCTTCTTGAGGACTTGACTCCTTTGTTTTGCTTTAAAGGGCATTTAATTGCATTCTGCTCCCACTGTATCCCATTATCCATCTCCTACTAATTCTCCCATATTCTACCCTTCCACTATTTTGGATTACCCAGCTTTCTTTGGAACTTCTGTAACACCCAACCTTTGCTCACTTTCCAGAATATCTTTCCTCCCTCATGGTCCGTGACTCAAAATCCTACTTATTCTTCAAGGCCTCACTCACAAATCCTTTTTCCTTCATGAAGCCTTCCATGATTCCTCCTACTTGGAATTGATAAGGGTCATTCCCAGCCTATGTAATGTCTTTTCCTAGAGACACTTGATTTTTAGGTGTTGGATAATCATCACATTAAAAAAATTTGTTTTTGCCTACTACTGGCAAATTATCAAAATAAATATGTAAATTTCCATGCCTGCAATGAAACTGTTGCCCCTCCCCCTTAAATGTGTTCAACCTATGCAAGCATATGGAGAGGCTCTGAAATAATCACTTATACTCCTACACTCCAATAATTACTTAATTAGTTATCCTAGCACTTTACCTTCTATTATGCTGTGGGTATACTTCATCATCCACCAAGTTGGGGGCTCTGAAGACAAGAATATCTCATTCGTCTGGTATCTCCCAGGTCAGAGAATGTAGCTTTCAGAGAAGAGGTGTTTAATATTAAGTTGTACTACTCACTTGCGACCCAAGAGAGGCGATTGTGGTAGAAAGATGCAGACTATTACTTTAGAACATGATTTCCTGGCTTTGAATCCTCTTGATTCCCTTGTTAATCATGTGATCATGGCTAAGGTATTAACCTTTCTTTACCTTTTTCTCTTCCTTTATAATGTGGACAGATGTAAAATATCTTCATCATAAAATTGGTATGAGGACTGAATAACTAAGAGGAGGTGAAGTGGTTAGAATAACAGCTAGGAAATACTTAAAATGTTAGATATCATTCCAACCGTCTGCTAAAATAGGGAGGACTCTTGTCTCAATTCTCACCTGAAGGCTCTGGATGCTAAATTCCATGGTGAATTGGCTTTGCAGAAATTTCACAGTGGATATCTAAGAGCTAGTAAAACACTTCCCCTATCTTGAGAGTATGAAGAGGTCAGCAGTAGGAAGTTAAAGAGAGGTCTTGCTGAGATTGAGGGTCACGTGATTAGCTTGCCATGTATCCTCCACCCCACCGCAGTGGTGCCCTCCTTGAAATGTAGAGAACTTCTGTGAGAATTAGAAAAAGTCCCTTCCCAGTAAAGTCTGTACTCTGAGGAATCCTGCTGCCCATGCCCAAAGAAAGGGTCTTCAACGGGGTTTCTTGAGAAGGTCAATAGGAATCTCTGGAAGTGGAGAGACACCAGGATTGATGTTTGACTTCCACCTGAGCAGTCAAAGCCAGGAGGAAGGATGGCTGACTGTCTATGACAGCTGTATCTGTCCCCCAGAGTTTGCTGGACTGGAGAAACTGCCACAGAGTTATCAAGTCTGTGCCAAGCGAATTACATAGAGAAACTCTGTGAAGAGTCTGGCTCAAACTGCCCAATCCTAGATGCTGAAGAAGGTGATACCAGCTATGATAGCTGCATCCACCACTTTCTTGCCTCAGGGACAAAATACCCAACAGCCACAGCTTAAAGGGGGAAGGTTTATGTTGGCTCCCAGTTTCAGGCCACTGTCATCTGGCTCTAAGGCAGAAATGCCTGGCGGGAGGATCTGTGGGGAGAACAACTGCTCAGACCACACCAGCCAGGAAGCAGAGCAAGGAGAGAGGAACTGGGGCCAAGACACACCCTTCCGGCTCACAATCCCATAGACTACTTTCCATAGATGCCACCGCTGATGGGTCCACCGAAGAGTATGGTGCCTCCAATCACCTTCCAGACACATGAGACTCTAGCTACAGCATGGGCTAGAACAGAAATGTGTTTGCTCTTACCAAGGATGTGCAGGTGAAAGTACCTCAGTGACCAGAAGAGTTCTCTAAATAACCCAACCCAAAGCAGAAAGAATCAACTCTGAGAACTTGCTGAGCACAGCCGACTTAGGACAATACAGTAATTCCTCCTTATCCACAGAGGACGTATTTCAAGACCCCCAGTAGTGCCTGAAACTATGGATAGTAGCAAACCTTGTATATATTTTGCATACACTCCTATGATACAGTTTGATTTATAAATCAGGTTCAGTAAGAGATTATCAACATAACTAATAACGAAGTAGACCAATTTTAGCAACACATCATGATAAAAGTTACGTGGATGTGGGTGGAAACATACCTGGCCAGGGTATGCCGGAGAAAGGCATGATTCCCCTCAAGGGCAGGATACAGCAGAATGGTGCAACATTTCACCACACCGCTCAGAACAGCAGGCGGTCTGAAACGTACGAATTGTTTACTTCTGGAATTTTCCATTAGTAATTTTGGGCTGTGGGTAAGCCCAGATAACTGAAACCTCAGAATGGTTATCTGTGGGGAAAGGAGGGTACAGGACTCTACCAGGCAAGCAGGCACATTCCTGTCACTTCTCCCCTGTATCCCACAATATTTTCCCAGTCTCCCCCCCTTTGACTCTGGAAGCATCCACCCAGAACCTGGTTTACCAGGTGGAGGAGATGAGTAGAAGCAGGAGGTGTGGAAAGGAAAGGTGGAGAAGAAGCCAGTCACATCCTGTCCCTGGGGCTGGGCATTTTACCTATCACATACTGCAGCTGGGCTGCACCTTCTCCAGGGAGTTGTTAGCTTTGAAATCAAGGTTGACATTTTTTATTATTATGCCAGGCTGGCACATTAAGTACTGAATTGAAACCCTGAGTGCAACTTTTACCCTGAATTTCATGTGAAGAGCAACACAGTTGCTGGAACTCGGTTCATTACTAATTTCCTGTGCTGACTCCATCCAAAACTGATGGTTCCCTGTGCCTGCTCTGCCTAGAGTCCCCGGAATATGTACTTTACTTGTTTAGCTATTGGCATGAGTTTTCCTTCGGCCAACCTTTAAATGCCAGGATGGCAGGGATAAAGTATTCGCCTTTACAGCACCAGCACCTAGTGTTCACTGCCCCCCCCCATAAAGATTATATGAAAGTAATTTATCTTAAAAACAAACTAATATGGTTTCCTAAGAAAGGCTATAATTCAAACTTGTCTATATTTTGAGAGATAAGTTAAAAAACAGCAGCCTTCTCAACAATACAGTGTAATTTGTTCCCACTATGTGCAAGGATTTCCTGCATGTTTTCCTGAAGTTTGTGAAGAAGGGTCTGATGGAACTGAATCCAATGCACTATTCTGAGAAGTTTCAGGGGCCTTTTTTGTGGTTGTTTACACTTTTCAGTGTTTCTGTCTCAGGTTTCTTCAGGAGAAGCATTACCAAAAACGCCGTGTACAAGTGTAAAAATGGCGGCCACTGCGTGATGGATATGTACATGAGGAGAAAGTGCCAGGAGTGCCGACTGAGGAAGTGCAAGGAGATGGGGATGTTGGCTGAATGTATGTGTACAGGTATTCACCTCAAGCCATTGCATTCCACCAAAAACCCCTTAAGGAGGCAGTCGCCAGGTAATCCGCATCACCAGGGTGATACGTCACATTTTACAAAAGGAATCTACCAGGCTCTCCAGCTTCTTGAAAAGGGTCAGGAACCACTGAAATTGACCAAGCTGTCAACGAGAGGGAACCTTATTTACCTGGAAGAAGTGGTTGTTGTTGGTGTATTTGTCTTGTTACAGGAATTATACATGGAATGAAAAGGCATTAAATCGCAATAAAAGTAATGTGCTTTAATGAGCTGCAAAGAACAATATTCTGAAAGTTTCTCCCAAATTTGATTTTAATATACTTCTTATTTATTGCTTAATTAGCATAAAGATTCATAGCTGTGGAAGGAAATAGGAATGCTACATAAAGTATAATTGCCTCTGAATTGTCTAAATAGAGTTTTAAACCAAGTCCTTTTTTAAAGAACCCATCTTGGCTTTGTGCAGCTCTGAACCACTTTGTATAGGCTTACACAGGAAATTAACTACCCCGAGTTTTAATATAATTTTGTCCTTCAATCTGATAAAGAAACACTGTATTAACTGCTGGCTTTGTGAAGAACCATAATCTTCATCAAGAATTGGAATTCATGTTAGTATAATACACAATTAATTTTTCATCCTGCAAATTCTACAGAGAACTCAGATTCTAAGATATGTCTCGTTCCTCCTCAAAACACAAATAGACAAACAGATGTCACCAAGGGGATGATAGCATTCAGGGAGGGAATGCCACATGAAATAAAAGCATGTGGAAAGTGACTCCAGTTCTATTGTTCCCAGACTATACTGGCTACTGAGATGGACACAGAGAAATAATGTGTGCAGGAGGAGGAAAATAGGTCTGTGTAAATAATCTGGCTCTGAGCGGATGAAAGTTTTATGGTGGCCGATCACAATCTCATTTTAGCTTACATGAAACAGGAGCCTAAATGAAGGCTGCTGCTGGCATCCGATCTTGGAATGGAAACTCCTACTTTGATACTGGATGGTTTATGTTGCTCATCACTTAAATATGAACTTGTTCCAGTTGAAGTTCTGAGGACATTTTATATAGCTGAGTCCCCCTATATAAGTCTAAAATATTATTTACGAGTGCAAACATTTCCAGTAACAGATGTAAATCTTTCAGGAATCTGAAGTAAATTCCCTACACAAAGAACTTTCTGAAACTTTGTTTCATTAACACTGAGAGCAGAATAAAGAAGTTAAATGAGAGTATGAAATATTGTGCTACATGATTTTTAAAGCTCTAAGTATCAATCAAGAATAATACCCTATGATCATTCAAAAACATTCAATCACTTTTTGTTAGATTTCTATCACTTAAAAAAAACAAAACCCTAAGATAACCTAAAAGAAAAGGTTGAGGGCCGGCGATTCAGCTCAGTGGTTCCGCCACCTGCCTCGCAAGCGCAAGAACCCAGGTTCGATCCCCAGTACCACAAAAAAAAAAAAAAGGAAAGAAAAGGTTGATATTGGCTCACAGTTCTAGAAGGTTTAGTTCACCAGCAGTTGGACCCATTTTGTTGCTTTTAGATTCCTGGTAGGTGTGCAGAATGGCAATAGAGGGGAATGAATGGCAGAGGAAACTGTTCAGTTCATGAACAGGAAGCAAAAGAGAGAGAAGAAGAGTCTGGTATCCCACAGTCCCCTTGAGGCCACACCTCCAATGACCTAAGGACTTCCCAGTGGGCTCTACCTCTTAAAGGCTGCACCAACCCCCACCCAATAGCACAACACTGGAGATCAGGCCTTTAACACGTTAGCCTTTGGGGGGGGCATTCAATGTCCAAACTATAGTGCTCCTTGATTATCCTAATCTTTAATTATATTTTCAATAATCTATATAGTTGTGAAAATCAACAGGATTTAAAAATTTTCCCTAAAGGTGTTAAGATTTGTTTTACTCAATAAATTTAATTCCATGTGTTTAATGTGAAGCTAAATGTACTTCTTATGGAATAGTGATGGGTGAAAGTAATATCAATGTTATATTGTGAAACACCAGCTCTCCACGTCCCCTGGGCCATAAGGAGAGCATGCACATTTTTTTTGGTACTGGGAATCGAACTTGGGACCTTGCACTTGTGAGGCAGGTGGCGGCACCACTGAGCTAAATCCCCAGCCCACATTTACCTTTTTATTGAGTGCATACCTTGTACTTTGTATAAGGCTTTAGTAGCACACATTCTTTATATAAAGCCTCTTTGAAATGATTTAATTACATCTGATCTGTATAAAGCTCTATGAGGTAGATGTTATTTGCATTTTACAAATGAAGAAATAGACTCACAGAGGGTAAACTTCATGTGCAAGGTCAGGTCTTAAAGCTGGGCTTCTCTTAAATGTCTGAAGACCTAGAATTCATTCTGCATTGAATTGCATGTATTTTCTGAGCCAATCATGCAGCAGCTGCTTCAGGACCACACACCCGGCAGAAACTTCTGTGATTGGTGAAGTCTCTATGTTTATTTTTTCAGGCTTGTTAACTGAAATTCAATGTAAATCTAAACGTCTGAGGAAAAACGTGAAGCAGCATGCAGATCATACCATTAATGAGGACAGCGAAGGACGTGACTTGCGACAAGTGACCTCCACAACTAAGCCATGCAGGGTAATAACGTGCAATGCTGTCTGCCAAAGTCAGCAGGAGTGAGCTTCTGAGAGCCCAGTGATTATGGCTGGGAGAATTTCCATTTCAGTTATGCATTAAAGTGGATTTCTTCTTTTTAAAATTTTTAATTTTTATCAGTCCATGTTTACAGTCCATAATGATATTCACGATGGGGAATTGGTACACTGCATTACATATCTTTATTCTTTTTCATCTGCCCCCTTCCCTCCCCCCTTCCTCCCTCCCTCTCTTGGTCCGCTTCTCTGTTAGAAAGACCTATCTCCCTGTTTCCCTTTGTCTACCTTTTATTTTGCTCTTTCATTTATTTATACTTTGGGTTTCTCATAGCTTAAATATAAGCCATGTGTCTGAATTACTTCAGTTAACATTCTGGTCTCCATGTGCATCCATTTTCCTACAAATGACTCAAATTTATCTTTCCTTATGGCTGAGTGGTACTCCACCATGTTTAAATACCACATTTTCTTCTATTACTCAAGGTAGAAATTCATGCTTTGGTGTAAACCTTCAAATGACAGTAAAAAGCAAAAGTTCTTCTTCTCCAGGGTCCATTTAACTCCGACTACCACGAGACTGCCAATAGGAATGACTTGGTCTTCAGCATATGATGGAGTTTCCCAACTGAGTTTGGATGACCATAGTTTTCCCTGTCATTGAGAAGCGAGGCTCAAACTCAGTGGAGGCTGTGGCTTAGGCCTTATCAATGAGACAAACAGGGCAAATACACATCTGTGGACCAATAGAGAAAAGCTCTTCCTGCTGAGCCACAATTTCTAAAGAAATTCTTAGAGCAACTTGGGACAAAATAGAGGAACAGGGCTGGGGATTTAGCTCAGTGGGTCTGCCACCTGCCCCACAAGTGCAAGGATCCGAGTTCGATCCCTGGTATCAAAAAAAAAAAAAAAAGAGGAACAGTGATCAGGATGATTGGATGAACAACTACATGATAATGCATGGGCATTTGAAAGAGTTTTTATTTGCCATTAACCAAAACACCAATAAGCCACAATTGTCCGAGCTATACCCTACTCAGTATTGTTACACTACTGACAGGGAGAACTTCATCCATTTTTAGCTTTTTAGATACATTATTTTGTATTCATTTCATAAACAATAATATTGTAGAAAAGTATTTGCTATAGTGCTGCATCAGCAACCCTTTGGTATAAGGGAGGAAAGGGCTGACCCCATTGTTCACATTCCTCAAAACAACACTATTAAGGAGGAAAGAGATATTCAGTGTCTGGATTGCCCAGGTTGACAACCATATTTTAGGGGCCAGGAAACAATTTTTCTGTGAAGTTCCGGATGCTTAGGCTCTGGTCACATGGTCTCTATCATAGCTACTTAATTCTGCCACTTTAGTGCAAACAATGCATAGATAGACAAAGGAGTATGGCCATGTTCTAGTGGGGTTGTGTTTATAAAACCAGGTGGATTTTGTGTGTGGACCACAGTAACTGAACCTCTGAATATGGAACAAATACATCTAGATGGAGCCTCCATTTTATATGTGGGAGCCTTTCCTTGATTATGGCTAAACCTTCAACCTTCAACCTTTGCTATGAAAGGGCTCACTGAGTTTCACATGCACACAACTAATTATTCCCAAGAAGTATATGAAGGAAATGTTTTGTTATCTTTCTCTCCTAGATAAGAAGATAAGCAGCTTGAAGCAAATTTAGTGAAATATGATGTTTGTCCCCTAAGAAAGCAATTGTATATGCTATATTAGAGCTCATAGTTCCTGTTTGTACTTAGGCCTTTAAAAAAAACACTTTGCTATCAGTTAATCCAGAGGAAGTATGCCTATAACCACCCTAACACTTTTTATTTTCTTGCCAGTGTAGGAGAAAACTGAACTCACCTCAGATCAACAGAATCTTCTACATTATATTATGGATTCATATAACAAACAGAAGATGCCTCAGGAAATAACAAATAAAATGGTATGGGTAACATCTAAAATACATTTGCTTAAAGTTAACATTTTCTGGGGTTTTACTATCTCGAAGGTGGAATTTATTTATTTATTTATTTTATCCAAAGGTGGAATTTATATAGAAATGTGTTACTTGAAATGGTTAGATCCGAGAATTTAAGTTATATAATTAAACTTTTAGCAGTGTTAAGCTATTACGGAGGAAGATGTCTCACATCTATCTTGTTAACAGTAACTGCTCTCCTAAGATCTGAGAAATATGAGCTTGGTCTTCAAATTTATTATTTCAATCTGGTTTTTCTTTAGTCTAATGATTTTATATTGACATATACTTCTCTTATCTATGTATTAATCATTTTTTCTTAAAATTTAGTTAAAAGAAGAATTCAGTGCTGAAGAAAATTTCCTCATTTTAACAGAAATGGCTACCAGTCATGTACAGATTCTTGTAGAATTCACAAAAAAGCTCCCAGGTATTTTAAATTTTAAATACTTAATATTTATTGAGTGTTTAAGTAGGTGACACAGATTGCATTAACCATCTTACATATAATGTTTTGTTCAATTCTCAAAACATTCTTGTGTGATCAGGTCTATTATCACTATCATTATTATTAATAATATGTAGTTATTTCTCTGCTACACTGTATAATATTCTTGTAGCAGTGAGAGAGACAGGTCTTCTCATTATTAAATGGGAATTATCTCATATCTGATTTAGTGTGCCTAACTACTATAGATATGAAAAGTTAGAGCCAGAAAGGATATTTAAAATCATTTATAATAATTCTTCCAAATCAATAGATAAAACTTGGAACTTTGCAAATCTTTGCAGAGTACTTATTCACTCCATAAGTAGTTGTTGATACCTATTCTAAACTACATGCTTAGCTATTACCTTCACTGGGAATGGTTTAAGACTATTATATTTGTGATAGACACAGACATGCAAATGCATTACTGTTTGAATAAAGAGGAATTAGTTGCTGATTGTGGCTAAGAAATAGAGGAAGCCTTCAGTTAGGATTATATTGAGTTGAGTTGAAAAGATGTAAGAGTTTTCCAATTGGCCTGGAGGAGAAGGGGTATTCCAAGTTGAGAGGTCCACTTGTGGAAAAGAAGTGAGGCATGAACAAGAATGGGATTATTAGAAATAGGAGAGAAAATTCAGCGTGGCTATACTGCAGAATCTGTGGTAGGCTTCTTGTTTAGACACTGAGGTAAGTTAGGGCTCAAGAAGGAATTTAATCCCACTCCTTGGTGTTAGAGATTTCAGTGGCATTTACATTTGTGGAGAGGAAAATGATGAAGTTTTCATTAAAGAGATGTGCCTTTCCTTATTTGTATAGGATGGTTTTGAATGGGAGGCAGGATCAGTTAGTATGCCACTGAATAAGTCCAGAAAAGAGGGCTTGAAATGGAGCAATAGCAGTGGAAGGTAAGAAGAAATATAATGAAGACAGTGTAAAAACTTTCTGGGAATTGGTGAACAATGTATGTGTGACATAAAATAGGGAGACATTTTCAGTCATTCTGATGGGGCCAGTACAGAAATCGGGATGCAGTCTTATCCCCAGACTGAAATTCTTTCTGTCATATTGTCAGTGCTATTTAAGCTCATCAGTTTAAATTGTTTCTGTGTTAAAAAAAAAAGCATCAGCACATTAGAATCCCATGGTTCAGAAGATTATAATAGATACCTTATATGTCACTGTAACACTGTAATATTAAATTACTAAAGGTAACTTCTGACATAGGATTTTAATTAGACATGTTAATCTGCTTTCTTTTGCCAGCATCGTGCTATTGTTTTATTAAATGTGTCATAGACATAAGCTTTTATGAAATTCATAAAATGTGGGGAGAAAGTTCTCACTATCATTGAAACATCAGTATTCTTTCATTCTTTATTAAAAATGGAAGAGAAACTTGATTTGTTGTATGCTAATTAAGCTGAAGGAAATCTAGGTCAAAAAACAAGATTACATGACCGTCAAAAGGGGGGAAGAACTGAGAAAATGAAGATGTGATTTTTTTTTGTTATTTATGGGGAAAGGTTTATTCAGTTCAAATGATCAGTTAGTATGACCAAGAAATAATTGTAGGCAAAAAAATCTCATTCCTAAGAAGGTAGCTCATGTGACAGCAATGGGAGTATCTTTACATTTCTTCATTCCCAGTGCCTCGCCTCCTTTGAGGGAGGGTACAATTAATGTATGTCCAAGAAAAACAAATGAGGGCCAGGGATGTAGCTCAGTGGTGCCACATCTGCCTAGCAAGCACAAGGTCCTGAGTTCAATCCCTGGTGAGAAAAAATAAAAATAAAAATACAGAAGAAAACAAAAAGCAAAAAACCCTCAGAGGAAAAAATAATTTAACAGTAGTTATAGAAATGATATATATACCAATATACCAACCCTGAAAGGGTATTTTGTGAAAACAGTAGAATCTTCATCAGTTCATGGAGCAGACAAGGTGCCAGGGCCTGGCACTGTCCAGGGTGCTGGGGACCAAGAGGCAGGAGGAGGCTCGGGTCCTCACAGGAGCTCCTGGGTTCTGCATGAGGGTAACGCCTAATTCTCAGCATTGCTCGCTCTCATGTTTCAGTTCTCATTGCCATATAATCTTTGCCTAAGTCATTCAGGCCCTGATGGCACTATTTACCCCTATGAGTGTGTATGTGAGTATATGTGTACCAGGGTACACACAAGTTTGCGTCTTGTTTCCCACTCCTTCACCTATTCATTGAATTATCTGACAAATAATTCTTGGCTACCTATCACATGCCAGGCACTGGTGATACAAAAGTAAAGAAAGTCTCTGCCTCCAGAAGTTTGTTCTTCAACAGAGGTGGCAATTAACAAATAAGCAAATAAATAAATCTCCAATATTATGTCCGATAGTGGTAAATGCTATGGTCAGAAGGGCCACAGGCATTAGGGTTAGGAACAAGTGAGTGGAAGGGACACTGCGATGGGTAGGACAAGCCTGGAGCAGAGATCTGGTGGGATGTGGGGGTATCAGGAGAGAGGATTCATCCCCGAGGCAAATGCCTCAAGGCTCACAGCAGAGCTGGGTGTCACTGTGGCTGAGCACACAGAGTGAGGAGAGGAAGGGCAGTTGCCGTAGAAGCCTGGTTGGGAACTTTGCATTTTCTGGGTGGTATTATATTCTTTTAGGCTGGCAGTTCTTTCCCGTATTTTTCTGTTTTTGTCCACTTTGGATGGCACTGTTCTGAGCTCAGAGAAGACTTCTCCACTGGACTCTGATAGATCATGTGGGGTGAGGTGGAGGGGGCTACTTATCCTCCCAATTTTGACAGAAGACTCACGAGTCAGCCAAATATTCTAGATGCACATGAGGTATTTCTATCTGTGGCCACTTCTGCACACCAGGTGTGACTAAAATCATAATCCCAAAAGAATCTGCTGGCCTCCTGTTTCTGAGGGTCGCCTCATCTGAATCTGTCTATCTCCCATAGTATGTGTATTTGGTATGGAGTTGATATCGCCTTTTGCTTAACCTGTTCAATAAATCCTGCTCACTGATGATAAACATCAGCTTCTATTCTGAGGTGTGTAATACTCAATAGATTCAATTTGAATCCCTTATCAAAAAAATTACAAAAATCACTTGATGTTATACATAGACTGTGTGAAATGTTGTGCGAAACAACTCCTTAATACTGATCTGAGTATTGTCTTCACTCAGGGTTTCAGACTTTGGACCACGAAGATCAGATTGCTTTGCTGAAAGGGTCTGCTGTTGAAGCTATGTTCCTCCGTTCAGCTGAGATTTTCAGTAGGAAACTTCCAGCTGGACATGTTGACCTATTGAAAGAGAGAATTCGAAAGAGCGGTAAGTGATTGGTTAATGGTTGAAAGAGTTTGTTTCTGGGAGTAAAAACTGGCTCACCCCTGAAAGCAGGCTCGTGTCTGCCTTCTGTGACATTCCATGCCTACTGTGCCCAGTAGGGGAGATGACTCTAAGATATGCCATGTAAATGCGACTTTTGGAAGCTTGAAATAGCGAAACACAGGCATACTTTCTTCACTGCACTAAGATGAAGGGGCAAAGGAAGATTTTTGTAAGCATGGAAGATTAGTCTGATTTTTCCAAGATAGTACAAAGCACTGGAATTATTTAGTCCAGAAAAAGATTCACTTATTCAAAACCTTCAAGTATGAAATATTAGGTATCCAGCTATTATCCATCCTTACTCAAAATAAAATAAGAATTAATTATAATAGCAATACACACACACACACACACGTACACACGCAGGTTCCAGACATGGTTCTAAATATGTTCCAGACATGGTTCTCCATATGTGATTTCATCAAATCCTTGTAAAAATCTTATTAAATAAATACTGTTACCGTTGCATTTTACAGATGAAGAAACTGAGAGAGTTAAGTAAGTTTCTTGAGTCAGAGAGGAAGTCTGACTGCAAAGGGCATGTATAACTTGTTTTTTGGCAGTGGATGGTGCTGGGAATTGAACCCAGGACTCTTGCATGCTGGGCAAGTGCTCCACCAATGAGCTATACTTCAGCCAGAAGCTATGTGTCTTACCCATGATGCTCTATACTCTCAAGAGATGGGATGAAAGAGGGCAAGTAACTCCGTTTAACTTACAGAGTGCTGCTTTGACAGGGAGGCTCAAGGGACATTGAGATCAATTTCTAGCAATCCTGTGCAATTAGTCTGAAGAAGATTCTTAAAATGAGTACTTATTTTTCTGAGAGATTTTTGTGTGTGGGTTGGGGAAGGGAAGAGAATCAGAGGTGATGACTTCTCAAGATCTTATTATTTTACGGTCAACTGCATCAAGTTTCAAGACCTCTAGAGCCAGGGTTTTATAAGGGAGGTCCAAAGGAAAGTGTTCAGACTGTGCCCCATAGTCATCATTTTCTTCTCTTAGTTAAAACCTGAAAGTTATTATTAATATTATTATTGGTACCGGGGATCGAACTCGGGAACTTGCGCTTGCGAGGCAGGCACCGGAACCACTGAGCTAAATTCCCGGCCCCTGAAAGTTATTTTTAAAATTCCCTGTTCCATATTTTTAAAATGTAGACGTATAATCAGCATCACTAGCAGCGTTTAGAGATGTATTATTCTTATGTATCCATTGTTGTGTTAGTTGAATGAGTATTCAAGGCAGGAGCTTTGGTGCAGGGCTGAGGAGAGCCAGGCACTGTCTGGTCTCTGATGTTCACCATCGAGTGGAGAGAGATGAACTGTACATGGTCAGAGGAAAATGCAGAGAAGAGGTGAGAGAGAGAGGTGACTTCTAGTCTAGAAGGGTTTTGCTAGGGTTTGAGCTGGGCCTTGAGTGAGGTCTGATTTGGATATCCAGGGCGGAGATGCAGGAGACAAGGGCTGACCTTGGAACAGAAGCAAGAAAACAGAAGGCATGCAGGGGCAGAGTGAGTCATTGAGTTGATTTGATAAAAGCTTACATTAAAAAGAAGTCGACATTCATCATTGGAAATCTGCACCTTTAAATAATCTCTCTTGGTTCTTATTTTTCCCCCTTCCCCTGCCCTCCCTTCCACCTCTCCACCCCTCCTTATTTACAAATACTTTGTTCCTATTTTTCCATTTTCTCATATTAATTCCATTCCTTTCTTTCCTTTCCCCTACCCCTCCCACTTCCCCTTCCCCTTTGCCCCTTTTCTTCCTATTTCACATTATCTATTACACCTTTTAGCCCTTATTTACACTTTCAGTTTCTCACACCAGAGCCAAAGATGAATGTCATTATATTGTATACCTAAAATGTACCAATGATTAGAATGAATAATCGATAATGTAAAATAGGAAGAAAAGGTCCAAAGGGGTAGGGGTAGTGGGAGGGGTAGGGGAAAGGAAAGAAGGGAAAGGAAAAATGATGAAAAATGGAAAAAATGGAAATAAAGTCTTTGTAAATAGGGAAGGGTGGAGGGGGTGAAGGGAGGGCTAGGAATGGGGAAAAAGTAAGAACTAAGATACATTATGTAAAGGTACAATTCCCAATGAGAAATGTAATTTTGTTGTATACCTACAATGTACCAATACAAGAATTTAAGAAAAAAAGAAAAGAAAAGAAGTCAAAAGGGAGGAAAGCCAGAACCATAGTGTTAAGCTAAGGACTTTGAATGTTGGGCTTAAGATTTTGTTATTTTCTAAGTAATGTGGAGACAGTGAAGATTTTCAAGCAGAGGATGGAAAACCCTAAATTACGAATTACGAGTCCTCCCGTAGTGCTAGGGTGAACCAGGACGGGAGACCTTTATGAGGGGCAAGAAGTTTCAAGGACATGCCGTCGGGTGCTGGGGAAAAAGAAGGGATTAGAGGGATGTATTGGCTCTGTTTTTCATTCTTTGAAAGACATTGAGTTGTTAAGAAATATGGTTTCTATTCTATCATTCTTAAATATAGATTAAGGCCCAGGAAAGGAAAGGAGTAAAATCTACCAGATTTTATCTAACAGATAAATGTCAGGCAGTAGATTTTTATCATCTACCTGTTCTGGACTTTAAATCCTCGTGTGTGTGTGTGTGTGTGTGTGTGTGTGTGTGTGTGTATGTCCAGGCTAAGGGAGAAGAGTTGAATCAGGAAACCTCTGAAGAACCATTCAGCTCTCCAAGCCTCACTGCTTTCTTTCCTTAAGTAATTCTAGTTTTCTGATGGGTCCTTTGGCCAGCACTGGAATATCCTGATTGCAAATCTGTAACCAGTCATTATTGACAATTCAACTTAGGAAAGAGTTAATAAATACAAGCTGTATTTTCACAGGTGTGAATTTAATTTTCTAGGCTATTGATTATAAATTGGTGGTTTCTTTTACATATAACATTTGTGGCTTTAAACTGCGATGGACAAATCCTCGCCTGCTTAACTTAGTCATTTGTTTGGTTCCAGTTTCCATGAACTGAGTCAGCATTCTCTCTCTCTCTTTTTTATTTTTTAAATCCATGAGTCTGATTTATGAAATAAATAAAATTAAGAAGAGATGATGACTCATGAGGAAACATATTACTCACTTTACAGATGGGTCTCTTTAACTCTCAAAGGACCCTGCTGGAGCTAATGTGTAAGTCTAGTCCCACGGATGCTTGTGCTTGAGAATACTGACAGCAGGATGTGGCTGGAATCCAGGGTCCACTGCTTATTGGCTGTGTGTCCCCACCCCACACCCTTGCATGAAAAAAGCTATTGAAATGGGCCCTGTAACCAATTTCGTCTCTTTGAAATCATGTCTAACCTTAATATTTGTTCTGCAGTCTTGTCTGGATTTTGATATTAAAAAGTTCATAAGGCAATATCTGCCTTCTTTTGAGTCAAAATTTTATTTCAGCACCCACCACCTGCCTGCTTGGAGCAGGGGCTCAACAAAAATCTATGGAACCGAGGCATGAATGAGCAGAGGGTGCTTGTACTACTGGTCCATTTTAATTCTCCGTGAGTTCTTCTGCTGGGTATCAGGGTTGTTGGTATCCCAGGCTGATGACTAAGCAATGGAGAGTCTTTTTCCTACACCTTGCCTGTAGTAATTGATCTTGGGAATAGGTAAAGCTTTGCACTTCAGTGACTGAGACAGTAAAGCTATAGAAGCTCCCCTGAGCTCCCTCCCCTCATTTCCTCCTCCAAGATGAGTCATTTAAAGTTGACTCTGGTGCCAGACAGTGAAACAAACAATTTAATATGAATAAAAATGTTCTGATGAGAGGACATCTGAAGGAGAATTAGCCAGAAGCAGATCTGTCTCTCTCTCTCTCTCCCTCTGTCTCCATTGCTGTCTCTTTCTCTCATTCTATCTCCTGGATGCTCAGCTCTCATTTTTCCTCTTTGCCTGGTTTGTCAGATCTCCTGGGTTCAGAGCCAGGTCAGGTGCTGCCATTGTTATGAGGACCACTGAGGCAGGACTGGGTCCCTTTCCTAACTTGGCTAAGGTGAGGGAAATCTCTTCCGCTAGGGTTCAGCAAAAATAATTTTATTGGAAACTAAGAAGAAAATTATAAATGTTCATAAAAGATATATGTGCATAATTCATGGGCGTATTAATTATAGTATCAAAAGATAATGAGTATTTAGCACCTACTACATGTCAGGCTTTATTCTAAGTGTGTGAGCTTTGGGTCCTACAAGAAGCAGATACCAAGAAAAGATTAAATGTGCAGGAAACGGAGTGAGAGCAATGCCTCTGGACAGTGAAGGGGAGGAAGCAGGTGTGGACAAGGAGAACCTGTATAGCGTTGTGCTGCTCTGGCACCAGGAAGGGCAGGGCATGAAGAGACTCAGGCCGCGGCCCGGTGTGGAGCAAGCCTGAACTGGGCTAACAGAGAGGGCAAAGTTGGAGACGCCCTGGGATAGACCTACACCAGCACACCCGCCACGCCAGTCACCGGCTGGAAATGGCCTCGCAGGGCCTCAGCACTCGCGGGGCCTCAGCGCTCACGGGGCCTCAGCGCTCACGGGGCCTCAAAGCTCACTGGGCAGCCGCAGAGAGGATCTGGTTCACCGCGCACCCACTGCGAGCTCTCGCGGGGAGCTCCGGCTGGGCCTCTCTGAGGCCAACACCGTGCAGGCTTGGCAGAAGCATCTGCGTCCTCTTCATAGCACGTTGGGGTAGATATTACAAGTCCTGCGCTAGACCCAGGTTACGTTAACATCAATGACTTCCCTCCTCCAACATGTCAGTCCCAAGTATGTCCTCCTTCTGACATTCCCCTCTAACTGTCCAGCTCACCCCCGCTAGCACTCTGACTCCAGTGATCCCTAGTCCTAAAACAACTTCTATTCACTGATCTTCCATCCACTCACCCTTCGCCCAATGACTTCATGATTTTCTCCTGGCCTCACCCATTTCAG